CCCGTGGCCGTTTATACCCCCACCTACCAACTGGTTGTATTCATAACTTAAGCTTTACGTTTGATATTTTTTATCTTTATATCGAATCGTTAATCTTGCTTTGAAATTATATTGAATATGATTTTTATTTTTAACTGTCAAAAATTAATCGAATTTAGAACGTATCCGCAAAAGCGGAAGAAATCTGTGCTGACGGTTATAATGTAGCTTGTTTTCTATCGGAGAAACAAAATATTTACCTATTTGTAATAAATATATTTAATTGAGAAAACTTTAATTAAATAGTAAAATAACTGTACCGAAACAACTTATTTTATAGTAAACTTAAAGGTTTTTATCTATTATCAAAAATTTGTAGTTTAAATTTAACCGGGATGTTAAAAACTTTAATAATTAATGCAATCATTTTTGTCCGAAACTCCAAGATGCATAATAGCATAATAATTCAGATGGGTGCCCCTCAAAAATTTCGATTTACGCTTAGCATAGCGATAGTTTTATCGGTTATATAATATATATATATATAAAATAAAATCTGATCAAATCGTAAAATATCGAATTTAACATTATAATATATTATATTGTAATACGTACGTAAAGATTTTCATGTATCTAAGCTTATGACAACTGTTTGACCTTTTAAAATGCTAAGTACCCGCACGTGCGTACAATTTCATCATCCCCGGTCACCCGTAAAACTACCCAATTCAAACCTATTTTTATATTTTTATACATCAAATTGTAAAAAAAAAACTGATCCAAATAATGCCGAAATGGAATGCAAAAATGCAACTCCATTCACCATGAAACAGGGATCATATTATTCAATACGAATCAATTAATATTTAATGGTCTGATGACAAATTGTTAATGGAAAATTGAAATTGAAAGGTACAACTCTGACAACAATCATTCTTWCTCTACGGCCAAACTGCTAAACATTTAAAATAATAAAAATGGTATAAATAAATTATATATTTATTGTCATAAAATTGTTTTTACACAAACTCTTATTCAAAATACAAAAATAATTATTAACCGTGAAAAATATAATTATATACAATATATACATATTATTATATAAAAAKTAATTAAAAATGTGAGTAATATACTAGTCAATACTTAAAGTTATATAAATTACAAAAAAAAACATTACATATTATCGTCACTGTCACTCGATGATCCGACACTAAATGTACAATTATACTCATCGTCTATGAAGTCGTCAACTATRTTGTCTATTTCCCAGAATTTACTTTCCTCTTTGATCGTATTGTCTTCGAAATGTCGCCAATCTTCCGCCGTGACCGATTCAACACCTTCGATCAGCAAYTGTCTCACATCGTCGAATTTCGAAGYGGTATTTTTATCTTTTACGTATCCTTTAACCATTGACCATGCTTGTTCGATGGGGTTCAATTCACAATGGTACGGCGGAAGTCGTAAGACAACTTTATTAGCTGCCTTGGCGATTTCGTCGACAACATATTTATCGAACGCCGACTTATGTTTTTGGACTAAATCCAATAGCTCTGCTTTGACATACGAATCATCAACGTGAACATTTTTCTCTTGAAGCCACTTAATGATATTCGCCTTTTTCCACGATGACACTGGAATTTGTTCCGCCTTGACGGAATGGTAAGGTGCATTATCCATTATTATAACTGCATTGTCGTTTAATAGAGGCAAGATATTAATAAACCATTTTATAAAATGTTCACCGTTCAATTCACTGTCGAAGTCACTGCTATTCGTCTTGGATTTGAAACAAGTTAGACCGCCATCAACAAATCCTTCTCGCGAGCCAATGTGTACGATGATAATGAAATATTTACTTTTTTCAGTTGGGTTTCTAGCACCTATTGTTAATTCTTTTTGAAACGWATTTTTATTTGATTTTATGGAATTTTCTGTACACGCATTTTGTAAACAGTCATTACACCATGCCTCGTCTAAATAATATAATGTCCGTCCTTCTTCTCTGTATGCTTTTATACTTCGTAAATAATTTCGACGCCATACAATTAAATCTTCTCTCTCGGATAAAACACTATTTCGATTCCTTTTCGTATACATAAAGTTTAAGTCTTTAAGAAGATTGTACATGGTTGTCCGTTTCAATGTGGGTAAACTGTCATCTTCGGAGACAGAATTCACGATTTTATCCAATGTTGGTGGGTCCCGGTTTTGCCAGAATAAATGCACTTTTTGACGAATGGCATTCTTATAATAATCATCAATCACTTCAATAATTTTGGGTCTATTTTTCTTCATAATCGGAGAAGAAATGGTTTTATTTGTATTGTATTCTGAAATCATTTTTTCAATACTATTTCTTCCTATTCCAGATTCAGTCATTAATTCTTTTACTAACTGTTTGTATAATATGTTAGGTTTATCTGCCTTCTTTGTTTTATACAGATTTATAACTAATTTTTTTTGTTTAGTTCGAATCACCTATGTCAAATAAGAGAATATTATTTTACACATTAACAACATTGATGTTATTAGATAGAAACTATAAATAATAAAAAAATTTAAAAATAGGTTAACTCTTATTCGAAAAAGATTATTTCTTACTTTGCCTTTTTTATTTTTATTGACAGGTTTAATTGGTAATACTTGATCACTCATTTTGAAAAATAATTCTAAAATATATTAGTAAAATTATAGCTTATATAAAATAAAGATTTAACACTGTTTGTATAACATTTTGTCACGGAAAAAATGTTGAAACTATCGAGWAAACTAACGGACGAATTCGAAATGTTGAAAGCAGAATGTCGTCGAATATTAAATACGAGTCACAACATTGAACATATGGATCGCTATCACTTCATAATCACTATCACAGTATCACAACAGGCAGCAGCTGAAGCAGGCTGTTTTTTTTTTTATTGCTTTGATTGCTTTCAAGGTTGTATGAGTACAGTGTGACCGCACACGATAATGTTATTTAAACTTCTTTGCACATTTCGTGAGTCCTTTGATTACTTTTTTTTATGGATTCAAATATGTATTTATACTATAGACTTATATATAATACTATAATAGAGTCTATATTATATAGAAGTTTGTGATTTATACGTACCTATGTTTTATACTAATATGCATAGGCGCAAATTTACTAAATTTTTTGGGGGACTTAAGCTCTCCTCGCAATAGGCTATAATATAAGTACAAGTATTAGTACTAATTAGGTACTAGATTTTGAACCGGGGGGACTTGACCAAAATTTGAGGGAACTAAATTCCCCGAAGCCCCCTATTTGCGCCAATGCTTATATTTCGTACATTTATCGGGTACTCCAATATGTTGAAACAGAAATGTCTTAGAACATAAGCGTTTCAACGATCCGAGATTCAAGCTAACCTCCCTCCCAAATTTTAACTTTCAGAAAGATACCTTGAAAAACTAAAAGAAAATTTTAGATCCATTATTTTAGATTCTGAGCGTAGGGTGGGTATTGATCTAACAATGATATGTGCATGTTTATTTTTAATTTAATTTAATTTTTTTCAGTCGAAATAATTTTGTGATTTATTATAACTTAACTTTTCCGGTAAGAAAATGAATTTAGATGGAAATTATTATTTTTGCTATATTCAGTAAATTATTAGGAGAAGAAAACTATTTTGCTATTTGGGAGATTATGAAGAAGATTTGGAAACCCCCTAGAAAGAGTAAAATGTTTTGGTCTGTTTATAAAAAGATTTTTGAGAAAAAAGTTAACACCGAAAGGTTATTAAGACAAAAAAATCTCAGATTACAATCCAAAATAAAGGCATTAAATACCCTGATTGATAATTTACAAGCCGAAAACAATGTTACAGCCAATTGCTCCAATATTTTGACGATAACTTGCGACAAAACCTACAACTATCTACATCTTAATAATACATAACATCACAAAATTCATTTAGGACAAATTTTGTTAAGACAACACAAAATAAACTTTTATTTAATTTTCTGTTAGTATGCTTTATTAAGAAAACGTTACCCTTCATTAAATTCAATTTGATTATTCAGAGCTTATAATT